GAAACATTATTAGCACAGAAACGAGGGCGTCTCTCAACAGCGGTAGAGCCGAGCCGAGTTTTGGTAGCTGCTATAAAACAATACATTGTGTAGATCTGGAATAGTGTGACACAGCCCGGCGCACTGATGCATTTCAGTGACATCATATTCTCATATTATCAAGTCATCAGCCACCCAACAGGATCGTTCAAAAATCTCCACTGAACCGTACTCAGCTAACAGTCGCCATAAAACTATCCCCTCCTTTCGCTTCGCGTCTTCTGTTTACTTTAGTTTTGAACGGCAGGTTACACGGTTACCATAAACATAGCGAGTAAAAGGCTGTACTGATATTTTCTAGCTCTACTCGTATGCTGTGTTCAGTATTTGTTTAGGGACGAAACACAAACCACCGTCTCCTAAAATAAATATCTCCGCTTAACACGATATTCTGATCGATCTCTTATCACTTCCTGGTATTTTAAAATATCACCAGCTTCTGCAACTATAAAAAAAAGGCTTTAAAAGAGTCATTTTTCAGAACAATCTCAAAAGCAACGGCTGCTTACCATCAAATTATTAAAGTGGGGCACGGAGCGTAACACAGCGTTGGTGATGGACCAATTATCCATAACAAAATAACTAACATTAGCATTCTTCGCACGATTCCTCATCTGCCTAAAAAATTGATTTAGCAAGTTAATAAAGTCAGTGGACAGCTGACAGTTTTCAACAACCATTCCCTTTTCAGATCTCTGTAGGCTTTTAAAAAATTCGCTGCATTGTCTACTCCAAATATAATAATTTTATTAAAATAATTCTACTAACTTCCTAATTCTTATTTCGTAATTTTCTCTTCGACTCCCTTGCTTATTTTAAAACCTTTCTATTACTCAAAATATTAAGAAGCACAGCGAAGCATGCCCGGTTTCATCCTGAACATGGTCCTGCTACTGACCATCATCACCAGTACGTGTATGAGACTTCATTGGCACATAGTTAGCTAATCTGGTAATCCCTTCAAGAAACAAAAAACATCAAAATCGTATAATTTAGCATATACAGGTCCACCCCAGCGAAATAGAGAACTTCAAACGCAAGACCCCTCCGTAATTCAATCTCGACAAGAGATACGAAACACT